TCAATTTTGTCATTAAAATTAGTAACCAAATGATAAAATGAGATAAACCCAAATTAACACATTTCTTAATTATCATTTATCTGGATAATTACGGATTTAATGAGAAAGTTGAAGAGAACTCTTTTGTAGTCATTGAAATTTCTGATAAAAAGTATTTTCAAACATCTTCTCCTACAATCAATCGTTCCTCAGATAAATCGATGATTCATAAAAATTTTGAATTCGTTTGATCTCTTTTTACCATTTGGCTACTGAAATCACATACTCGGACCCTGATCTGCATACATATATATATTTGGTATATGTATCAACCAAAATTGTTATCAGCTTTAATTTTAATCGCGCGGAGGAGAATAGTATAATACCGTTAATTACTATTAATTATTAACTATTTATCATTCTAACGCTAGTGTCATATCACGACAAAAAATCGCCATTATACGAGTAATACTTATGAATACTATATTGTAATGAAAAAAAGCAAAATATATTTACACGAAACGAAACAAGAATGATGAGCAAAAATGGTATAAATGAAATTTTTCATTCACTGCAACGGAGTCGGAGACATGTGAAGGAAGCACGAATAATTTGTTAATTTACAATGACCAGAAAACTCAATAAACTTATATCATATTTCACAAAAGCGTCTCTCATTAATTTCCACATTTAATTTCCCATCCATTCGATAATTCGACAGTGAATTGCACTGGGGAAAATAATGACTTCCGAATAATTAACAATGATGATTTCTTCAGTGAAATTCCAGTGGAAAATTCCTCCCCTACACGAATTTCCCAAGATTTTCCATGGAACCTCGCCCATATCTCCCAGTTTTCTCCCGTCCATGGTATTTTTAGATCTCCGTCTTGACTCTATCATTTATCACCGGACAAAATGAATGTAAACAAACAGCCTTACGCCTTCAATCTCCCAACGGTAATTGAACTCGCGATTTGTTGAATCGACGGATTATTCCGAAACTGGCATTGCATACACCCGATAAAAAAACAAATTGCACACAAAACCCATTGACAGAAAAAAATCATTTCTCATTACCGAGATATTCTCTCAATTTTCTCGTTAGCTCCGGAAACTCTCGACTCTTTAAATCATTTCGCGTAAAGTAATTGCCTCTTCACTTAAGTGAAACTTGTACCGTAAATTTAATTAATAAAAAACACTATTGAATATATTTAAAGAATAATTGTAGTGAAAAATATTGAATATTGAAGCAATTGGAGATTTGATGAAAGAATAATTTTTATTTAAATAATTTGTGTGCAAATTGTGTGCAAATTGAATTGATGCAATTATTTGATTTTGCGGAAATGAATTTTTGGTCGTGTCCGATTTTTAAAAAGAATTCCGAAATTCTCATGAAACTATGAGATTAGAAATGGAATGGACACGCCTGCAGCGTTGACCTCGCGATGTTCACGCACCTCCCGCGTGAACCCTCCCCTCTTTGAACATTCGGTTCTAGTCATTAGCAGCCAGTACCGCACCTTCAGTCAATCATTACAACGTACATTGGACCAACGGGAATGAAGCCCTCGCGATAGTCCGTACATACTACGTCTTTTATTTCTTTCACGACGCAAATCATTCCTTTTAGGTCAATCCAAGGCCCCCTTTTCTCTCCAATTGCCCACCAAATATTCTGAATTCCACTGATAAAACCTCCGAATCCAGGAACAAAAATATGACTCAAACTCGATAATTAAATTCATTCTCCATTCTTCATTAAACCCGAAACAATCGATTTCAATATTTTTGAATTTCAAAAACTCTTGATTTCTTGAGAAAATATCAAATATTTTATTTATGGAAGTTGCAATTGTAAAAATAATTGAATAATTAATAGCTAAGTCATTATTGGTGTTCATTATAGTGGATAATTAATTGTGTGAATTTTTTAGATGAGTAAATGTAATGCGCAATAGTCGCGTGCTGGGGCGGTTTTTTTAAAATTTTTCTAAATTAACAAATTCCGATTGAGGCAAACTTACGCAACCGGACAATTTTATAACTTAACTAGGGTCAAGTACCGTTGCGTTCTGCGTTTGTACATATAGCGGACACGTGTGTGTACATATATAGCGGATATACATGTAGCGAATGACTACACGTGTCTCAGCTGATTGTCGTTGAGCCTCCAGCCCCTTCTTCCCCGACTCCATCCCATCCACCTACTCAAAAGGCATTGGAATATACCCTTGAACCGCGAAAAAAATCAAGGAAATTATTTATCTTTCCATCGCAGTTCAGGGATAAATAATTCCAGCACCAATGACTCCAATTCGAATAATTCATTAAAACCTATTAGAGATTTCGCGGTTTTAGTTAAATCATGGCTTAATTATCTCGGGAGTTTATCCCTGCCCAAAGAGAAATCATTCAACTTTCATAAATTGATTTCAATTCAAATAATTATTCCGAGTCAATTGGAGATTTTGCGGCGTTGGAAAAAATTGAAATGATTATTTCAATTTTGAAAAATTATGTGGGTCAAGTAGATATGTTCTATGCGAAGAGGAAAAATAGCTAAATCAATATAGAGTGTGTCGAGAGCCTGATAACAGCGGAAGTTTATGTCTGTCGAAAAAGGAAATTATTTATCTTCCTATCATAGTTCAAGGAAAATAATTATGAACGATTTCAATTAAATTATAATTGTTCCACATCAATCAATAATTCTACGTGTTGGGGTTTTAATTTGAATAAACCATCGGCTTTATTTAATTGAAGCAATTTGTTATTTCAAAGGAATTTCAATTTCTCTGCAAAGTTTTCCTATTCCAACAGGGGAAATTTTTAAATAGCAATTGAACTGAACGGAATGAATGAATTCCCACGTCTAAAGTAGTGAAGAAAATTATCATTATGATAAATTAACCCATATTCTTATAAATTAACGATAATTCAATGAGAAATTTAATTTTTGTGAGTCTCGGAGTTCCTTGAATGTTGAATTTCATAAAAAATTGCAATTGCTCCGAGTGTCGATGAAAAATAATAAAAATAAAAATAATGTTCCCCGAATGTCCGATAATAACGGAAGTTGCACAAGTTTCTGTATGCCACACGTTGCATCGCATAAATATACTGCGTCCGTTGATCGATCTAATATCGCAAGTCCTACGCGATTCTATTTAGAGTCTAAATCGAACATGTCATACTCGATATAATGCTCCAGTTTCGCATCCGAACGTTAAAAAGCCTCGCCAGACGAATAAATATAAATCGAGAATTGAAAAACCTTTCTGCTGGAAGCAGATGCAGACCCTCTATTTTTTTTATCCCCAAATAGATGTCCAGATTGACATGACGAGAATCCAGCTCTCAGAAGTGGCTAGATATATAGAATTAATCCCGCGAATTTTCAAAGAGCCTCCACACGGAAGTCTATCTTATAGTTCTGCTATTGACCGATTGCCAATCAATGGCAGCACTAGGTTTATTAACATAATATGATTCACAGAACAAACCAATGATAATCAAAGATCATCTGATTTTTTGTGTAAATATTCATAAATATTGTATAACATAATTCAATTGCGCAGAGACTGAAGATAATGAGCTGATTTAACTACGACGTAGTTTTCGGTGGATATCTCTGATCCTATGAGAGATACTGAGATTTTCATCAGAACCTTTTTTGTAGGGTGAATTGAAATCTACAAAGAATGTTCCTACAGAAATTTCGCTATTCCTGTTAGATAGGGAGATACTCCTCGAAAACATGTCTATTAGCAAAGTTGAGATATTATACTTTGAATTATTTTGCGCAGTGACAATGGCATAACTGTTGATTCCGGTTCCGATGACATCCCGTGTTTTTCAAATATTTCACAATGGAACTTCAGCAGTAGTAACCAAATAGAAAAGTCGTCAACAATATGGATCATCATATGCATCATCATGGGTTTAAAACCATGAATTTGGCAATAATTAAACGATTTTCAACAAGACGTTCATTGTAGAATAATTCAGTGATTCAAGAGAGGCATTGGAGTATTAACGAAACGCAAATAAAAACATGTCGATATAACCCACACTGTACCAATGAATTCCCAATAATCCTCATCGAGGGAAAATAAACTCACCCCAAAATGCCGCGCAGGTGATCCGCGCAGAGTTAACAGTAATCTCATCTCCGAGAGTGGAATATCTCCGTGAACAAAACACTAAAAATTCACTGTAGAAACAGGCGGAAACCCGTTGTGCACTGACTGGCGCTTCAGTCGCAATAAACAGCTGGTGAGCGACGCGATGCGTCAGAGCAACTCCGCCAGTCGACACTAGACGACACTCCAACGCTCATCCATCGATTTAATTTTAAAATATCCCAAATTGCGCGTTTTATTTGTTACAAGCGCACAAAAAAAAATAACCAACTGAGAATTTTCCATAACAATTGAGTAAATACCGACAAATAATTCCAATCTAGAGTAAAAGTGAAGACCGAGTTTTCTTTGTCTCGACGCGCATTCGTTTTAGTACCAGAGGCGCAGATTGCTTTGTTCCTCGTAGCATCGGCACAACACTGGATATTCGTTGGTGTTTATGTTTAATAGTGATTAACCCCAGTGTTCCTCAGAGTTTTGGTTATTTGTTCACTGGATAATTGAAGGGATTTAAAAAAAAAAACGGTGGTTAATGCTAGGGAGTGCGTGAGTGCTTTGTTTTGGCGGAGCAGCTGATCGCCAGACACATCTGATCGGTCGTTTTTTTTTTTTACGTCTCTTTGTCTCTGAGGTGTTAACGAGAGTCTAGGGGAGAGAATTTTGGGGCTGAATGAGGGTCCAGGGCCCGGGACGATCGTCAGTCGTTGTTTATCAGCAGAATCCGGGGAAAAGGGGACAGTGAGGGTAGATGAGGTGGAGGTCAACGGGGGCCGTCCTCGCAGGCTGTGGGATACGTGGGGTACGGCCCCAGAGCTGACCACCGGATTGTTACCAGGGGATCCCGGATACCTGTGGTGTTGTTCTGTTAACTGGATATTTCTACAAAAATGCTGTACATTTTTCATGTTGATACTGGTGCTACCCTCACTTTCGACATCAAGCTCGCTCTGCAGAGGTAATTATACAGGGAATTATCCTGGGGATGACAGACGGTTCTGGAAGCCCTTAATGACTCATTGGAATTCTTTTTGTTTTCTTGTGGAAAGATAAAACACTCTCGCGAGTTGTGGAGTCAGATGAGTTGGGGTTTATTGGTTTATCGATCGATCTCTGAGACTATTGAGTTCACGCGAAAATGTTAACAGATATTTTTTGGAGAAAATTTCATCAGCTGTAAAAAAGCCTTTTGATGTTTTTATCTTGAGGTGATAGGTTTAGAGATAAATTGGTAATCAATGGAAATTGCTAATTTGAATTATCGAGTGGGGTATGAGTAAAAAGATTTGGAATTCAATTATTTATTGGAGGCAATGAGATGAAACAGTATAAATAGTTTGAAATTTATTAGGTAGTTTGTGGAATTCGGGATTCACATTAGATATCATTATTGCGTTCTTTGATTTTGTTTTTTGGTGAAATCATCTTTTAAGTTTGGACTTGAGTTGAAGGTTATTATTTCAACGTCGAGAGAGGTACACATTCGGCTGTTTATTTTGAAACGTTAGAGAATTTCGTGAAGATACGAGAATAAATTAGAAAGCCTGAATTCAGAGATTTATGTAATAATCGAAAAACTGCAATTTTCGGTCATTATGAATTTTTTTTTTCGTGATTTACGAGGGCTCGGACCAATTATGTATAACCAGGCGGAGTTTTTAGATAACAAAATTGACAAGCGGAGACCGGAGAGGCAGTAAAAATTGTTCGGATATTCACGTGTTTTAAAGACACTCGTAAAAGAGAAAGAATCCGAAACCTTTCCTTCTTCACAATTCTGAGCTCGAGATTTTAATGCAGAAGAAAGTAAAGATGTATAAAACCCTCTCGTTATTCTTAAATAAAAACTAACTCGTTCGCTCGATTTTTTTATTTTTGAAACACCTGTCTGAAATCTTTTGTTCTGTATGTCGTTGACACGCTTTGGCCTGAAATAAATCGAATCGAATAATTATAAAACAAATGTGGGGATCAATGTCTATCGATATGTAATTACGCCACAATTTTTCCGGTAAAATCGACACTAGCACATACATCTGATGAAATATTCAAGGCTGCTTACGTATCATCAAGAACTTGGCGACAGTTTACAACGGCGATGTGTCCGACGGTTGATGCAATAGACCAACAATTGCACTCGTATTAGTGCAATTTTTATTTGCAAGACAGAAGTCGATGATGCGTTATCTGCTGAATTTGCATGTTCTCCGACTATCACGATAATTGGACTTGTTGCATGAAATCGGCTAAAAGAATAATTCTTAATGATGAAACATCGCTGGTCAATGACTCATACGTTCTCTTCATCGAAAATAAAAATTTTAATCCATCAACTCCAACTCCCGAGTAACTCATTTAATATGTCTAATTTGCACTTGTATTTGTGGACTAATAGAGCAATTAATTCTTTCTACGAAAAATATAAATCAATTGTCAAATGTCAGCTCTAGATAATAAATGATTTTACATTACCCAATACATCGAGAAATATCTGAATTCATTTGATTCAACTCATGGGGAACTCCTATTTCTTGTTTCACATTTTCTTGAAAAATATCTAGTTAATCTAAAAAACCATTGATTTTACCAGCAAGTGTCAAACATAATTTCATAATTTAATATTAATGACATCAGTGTTTTACAATGGAGAGAAATAATTACCTCCCCGAGCTATCGAAGTTGAAATCATCAGAAATAGGAAAGTAGATTTAACGACGGAGGTCTAGTAGTGCGTGACCCCATTCCCACTGGAATATGTTTCCTCGACGAGTTTGAATGAATTTTCCCAACTGCAGGGTAAATAGACCGCAGAGGTGAAGAAAATGAACTGTAATTTTCAGTGTTGCGGAGTTGAAGGAGGCTATTGAACGAGAATGCGGAGTACTAGCTGTCCACCAAGTGCTCTTGATGAGCGGTGGGGAAAGTTTGGAGCCTAATGCACGTGTCTGTTCGTATTCAGCAGGTACCGATACCAATCCCATCTATCTCTTCAGCAAAGCTGCCATCGAGAGCCAAGTGCCACCTGTACCGCATACTGATTATAGCACCGGTGAGTTTCCATATTCAATGGTTATTGTAATGCTCAAGTTTTATCTCCCAGCGAGGTACCAGCATTTTTTTTTGTGGTTGAGAGAAAAATTCACCGCGAGATAAGGAGAATTGATCTTTTGTTCGAATTCAATCCGAGATGTAAGAAGCCAAAGTTTTATTAAAACTTTTTCCGCAATTTAATTCAAATGTGCCACTCGGGAATTGTATTTGGATGACTCATTAATCCATTCAAACGGTTTATTTTTTTCAAGTCCGAACGTGACGAAAATGTAAAGGAAAGGGTAATAAAAATATCGTAAAATGTGGCACGTATGGCGCCGTGCTCATTATTTAAAAACATGTTTGGGAAAGGCGATAGGCAAAATTTTCAACAAAAACTTGCACTTTAGATTTGGCGTTAAAAATGTTTTCTGGCATTACAGCAACCGAGTAAAAGGGTATTTTAAAGACTGGTATAAATATTTCTAACGATAAGTCATTTTTGTGTCAACAAACGTGACGAATAAAATGAAGTACCTGACATCGTCATTGAATTAATGAGATAGGAAAAAATCTAAAAAACACCTGCAGAAAAACAACAAATATTTACGACTATTTGTTGTTTTCGAGTTATCAAACGTAAAACGGAGTATTTGAAGATTTGAATTTAGTACCGAAGTGAGATAAGCCGAGTTTAAAATTATGAAATACGCAAGGGGGAAGAATCAGGGGACTTTTATTTTATCTGATTAGGAATTAAAATCGAGGGTTCCTCATAAACTCAACGGTTCAACATCAAAATCGAGTTATCCATTACTTCTTAATTCCAATTCCAATATAATCATTCCCCTACAAAATATTTCTTCAAACCAATCGATCTCTTGAATAACGAAAAATATCGATCAAGTCTGTCCCAAATACTGTCCATGGATGTCTATCTACCGATCGATTATCTGCTGATTATACAATAATTATGAGATCCAGCAGATAAATTCACGAACAATTTACGGATTTGAAGGCACTGAGGATAGAATTATCATTTTCCCGGGATTCATCTGAGACTCGCATAAAACCAAAATGATGCAGCGGTTTATCCCCAGCTTGATTTTCATTCTAAATCGCGAATTTACGTCAGCCTGGCATTGCAGCTCAGAATGACAGCGTTTAGCTCGCCATAGCAGACTGTTGGACGCCAAACTAGCGACAATCTTTTCTCACACATCGATATTTAATCGCAAACACAAGTAACACAGATATGACACGAGGTCTGAGTAAATGAGCACTGCGTAATCGAATAGCGCGCGTGTGCTGCGATCGCGGATCGAGGACACGACCACTCATTGCGTAACTTTCGTGGTGATACAGTGGATCGCGACTAGTGGAAAATTCTATGAATGGCCTATCGAGATTGTCTCATCCCGATCGATCTTTCTGGGGCAATTTTTACAGGAAATCTTGAGGGAAAAAAATGTATGGGATAATTTGTTTCGGGAGGTTGTACCTAGCATTCGTAAACAGACTTTCCCCACCATGGATTACTGTATTTTTCCTCTCATTTAGAGGCGGTGAAAGGCTCGAAGGATTGATCAAATGGTGCGATAAAGAAGACTCATGTTTAAATCTCTTGTAATCGAGTGCGTTTCAATTTTCTTTTCCCGAGTTTCTGCGGCTCGAGTCGCTCCATTCACCTAGCGAAATTGCTCGTTTGTTTATTTGAATTAAATGAAGAGAGAAAATTGACGTTTTGATGTGCCGATATCGGTGTTAAGTACTTTTATGATGGATGTAATGAACATCAATCACTTGGTGGTGGAGGATTTAATATTTTTATTATTAGCGATTTATAGTGAAAACTTTCGATTCAGGATACAAATGTTAGGGAACTTTTTTGTAGGTGATTAAATTTTCCAGAGAACGTGTATCTTGATTAATTGAGATTTAATGAAAACTGTAAGTGTAATACTCGAATTATCTCCGTTTACCACTTGGGTAGTGAAGTAATGAGGTTCAGAGTGTATCGATCACAATTTGTGCCGATTCAGCTGAGCCCATTATATATTTAAATAAATACGACAATTAACCCCGCGCTCCTTGTAAATTCGGTCAACTGATAATTCAGCGATCAGGCGAGGGTCATTGTGCTATCAATCACTGGACGAATTGCGAGCTCTGTAATTACTTAATTTGTGTAATAATGGAGTTCTGGTGATTTTCACACTTTTGTGGGGTAACGATCGACGATAAACCTGGATAATTTTTTTCGTCATTTTTTCGTAGATAAATGGGCGAAACGAAACGATGTCTGCGACATTTTTATGATTTTTCGTTCGTTTAAATAATTTTCCAAATGATTATTTTACCAGATGTTGACCTGGTGGAGCAGATCACAGGTTCCCTGTCGATGCCAGCGACATACAGCACTCTGGTATCGAGGGCGCAGTTGGCTCAACAGTGCTGTGCCATTGCCCGAGACCAGACAAGAACCTGTGAACGTCTGGTGCACGATCAGCATCTTCAGCAGCAGGGATGGGCAGCAGTAGTTGCGAATCTGGAGGACATCACCCAGATGTTCCAGTCGAAGGCAGATCTTCTTCAGCAGAGTTTCACGCAATATTTGACAGAGCGAGAGCAGCACATGCAGCTGTTGAACAATTTCAATGCAGATCTGGGTACCCTCTCGAAAATTCCAATTCTCCCAGCACTTCGCGCCCAAGCGGAGGGTCTCCTGAGTCCCGATGAGCAGCCCTCAGAGCCTGGTGACCAGCCAGACGAGGTGCTGAGTCTTCTGCGTTGGATATCAGCGAAGGACAATCAGAGCAGTCTTGAGCAGGTGGCAGAGCAGTGCTCCAGGGGTCTCGAGCAGTTTGACGAGCGAATGATGGAGGCCCTGAAGAATGAGACTGATGCTGCAATCGTGGGATCCAATCGACCTGAGATGAAGGAGATCAAGGGCCTGGGAGAGAGGCTCTTTGCCCTCGAGCAATTGCTCTCCCAAGCGAGAAGACTTCTTCAGGAACAGGGAGAACTTGCCCAGGGTTTCCTGCAGAATCAGACACGCGCGAATAATCTCGGTGATCCCAGTGTTCTCCCTGATTTGTGCGCCTCCCACAGGCGACAACTCATGGTCATGATGGAAAATCACTCGCAGCTCAGGGATATCAGGCGACGATGCACTCGAGCTAAAGAGGAATTGTCTGTTAATATCTATCACAGGCTCAAGTGGATCACCTATGTTGAGAACAAGATGATGGAGGTTGATGGTAAACTCGTTATGTACCATGAGAATCTCAAACGTCTCAGGCGTCATCTTGAGGTACTCCAGCAGATCCATATGGCACCGAATATGTATGTCACTGCTGTTGCCGAAGTTGTCAGGAGGCGAACGTTCTCTCAGGCTTTTCTCATCTGGGCCAGCAATTTGGCTTGTCAGTTACTCACTATTCACAGTGAGGAGATAACCAGGCGGAGGGAGTTTCAGAATAAATTCGAGGGACATTTCCTGAATACTCTGTTCCCTGGCCTCGAGGACACACCTCCACCATTCGCTACTCAGGCTCCTACTGTTTTTGATAGTGAACTTCCTAAAGTAATTTTTATTTTTTACAGGAATTATAATTATTTCTAATCATTTTGTTGGATAATTTATTCAATTTGGCGATGATTTATAGCTGACTGCTGAAGATATGAACTCTCTCAAGATCCAGCTACCTGATCTCACTGACTCGGTGTCCACACCTGACCTTAATAGTATTACTCAGTTCTTCCTGTCGAAGAGCTTCAGCGAGGGCAGTGGAGAGGGTAGCAAGGACAAGGGGCACAGCACATCGATGCCCATGGACATGGCCACGAAGGATCAGGGCGAGAGGCCAATGACCACTGACAGGTAATTTTGACGTTCTCCATTTTATCCCAGATTCTTCTGTAAAGTTAACGATTGAAGTGAAAATAATGATGACCAATTGGGCATCCACAGAGTGGGTTTCGAGTCGGAGACAGACACTGAGGAGTTCGAGAAAATAGTCCGGGGTAATGACGGCAAGACCACCTGCTACGAGACCGAGGAAAAACAGATGAAACAATTGGAGGTTGGTGGCTCGAGGAGCGTGTCCCCCACATCCTCAATATCCACTAACATGTCATCCTTAAATTCGCGCGTTGATTTAAATCGTTCAACTGCACTGTGTCCGTTAGTCGAGTGCATTGAAAATAATGAACCGAGTACCTTCCCAATAAATCCCATGACAAATGTGAAGTGCGACGGCCAGCTACAGCAGCAAAATCCACACCTGGAGAGTGGCGATAGCAGTCCTTACGGGGAGACAGCCAATTGTGATTTTTTGGGTACTGAATTTTACATGGATGAGTCGCTGCCAAGCAGCCTCAGCGAGCACCACACCGACGGCCAGCATCAGGCCATTGTTAATCTCCTTCAGGTACTGGATCGACATTTTCCAGATAAAAAAAAAATGACCTCAATCGAGAAATCAGCCATTGATAATTTTGTGTTTTATTTCGAATTTATTTCTCTGTTGCTTTTCGTCTTCCTCTTGCATCACATCTACAAAATCATTAGACAATTCCAGAGCTGGGTAAAACGCTATTTTAATCTCTACTCTTCATCTCAACGACAGCCAATGTGAAAAATTAAATAATAAATACCATTTTGTTACTAATTATGAATTTTTGGAACGAGTGCACTAAGGGGATAATTCACATATATCGAATTTCAATTTTTCTCAAGTATTATTAATTTATTTCGAATTTCGTCAAAGCCGTCCAGCTCTGGAAATTCCACCTGTTGATCGATCCTCGTGTCGATGTCCTGCAAATATTCTTCTACCTTTCAGCATGGCCACGCGCTTTCCTCCAGAACGAGAAAGAAACTGCCCGTTAATTTCTCGTTACCCTCAGTAGTCGAACCATTTTCGTTGTTTTGTTTTCAGGGCGTAGCTGATGCCGTCGCACACACATACACCTACACTTAGCCCCAATCCCTGACACCATTTGTTACTAATAAATGAATAACGTGAGAAATCACAGGGTGCTCGGTTCTACACTAGCTTATATTCCATTAAAATTAACACTGAGACCATCAAGAAAGTCCAAACCCATGAAATTGTTTCATTTCGATGAAATACATTTTTTTTCCATTCAAAGGAACAATTCAGTAACAGTTCGATAACAAAAAAGGTAAAAAAAAAATCACAATCTCTCCCAGATTCGAAGATATTTCTCTTCGCTACTGAATTTTTCTGACTGCACCAGCCAATCTCGAGCACGTAAAGATCGAAAGATTAATCGAATTTTCTTTTTTTGTTTCTCCAACAATTGTTGTTGTATAATTTCAGGAGAACCTGGGGAACACTCGAGCTGAGGTGGAGCGGCTGCGAACGATTCTGCGAACAGTGAAGACAGCGATGGGCGAGGCAATGATAGCCTTTCGGGACGAGTTGACAGTTCTTCGGGAGAAGGTGAACGATGACAAGTGCGGGATTCATGAGGTGACCGAACGTATTGGTCAGGCACTGACAGTTCACTCCCAGGAGTGTGAGAGAGCATTACGAGAACGAGAACAAGAATTAACCGTTGACCACGAGCTGGAGCTGACGGATGCCAAGAAACTGCTAGAAACACGAGACGAGGAGATTATGAACCTGAAACGTTCCATAATGGATAAAGAAACTGAGTTGGTTGAGCACGAACGTTTGATCGCCACCATGAGACAGAAGCTGGAGGCTGAACAAGAGGAAATGAGAGATATCCAGTTGAGGTTCCAGGAACAGCTCGAGGAGGCACTCGAGCAGGCGAGGATCGATAAGAATTCGATCGAGCAGAGTAATGAGGCACGTCTCGTGGAAATTTCATCACTGACAAATGCTCTGGAGCAGTGCAGACAGAATGTCAAAGAACTAGAGGAGAATTTGGCAACGGCCAGATCTGATCAGCAGAAAATTGTCAAGGAGACCACCGATAAGCTCCTGCTCGAGTACAAAACTGAGCTCGAGACCATCAGGAGTCGATTCAAACTCATGGCTGCATCGAGTGTGATGGAGAGGAGCCCCAGTGACTCTAGCCTCGAAAAGATTGAGAGACCTGATGTCATCGAGATTGTCAATCACGAGGCAATTCTTGCACAGACGAAGGAGGATCTCAAGGCTGAGAAGGCTGATGCTGTCAGGAAGGCCATTGAGAAGGAGTCGGCGGACTTCGAGGCGAAACTGCAATTTGGTCTCAGGATGGTTGAGAAACAGCTCGAGGAAGAGGCTGAGGCTCACAGGCTTAGGGAGACTGCACTCGTCGATGAGTGCCAGAAGTACCAGGAGATCATCAGAAGACTTACTGAGGATGACTGCAGAGTCAGGCAGAGTCTCACTGAGAAGCTGGAAAAGTTGGAGGAGGAAAAGCGTCGTCTGGAGAAGAAAATGGTGACGGAGAGGAAGATAATGAAGCACCGCGAGTCTCAGGTGCAGGAGCTGCAGGCGGAGAGGAACGAGCTTCGCCACGAGTTGGCGGAGGAACGTTTGAAAATATCGCAGAGTGCTTCAGGGATGGTGAACGATGCGTTTAAAGAGCTCATGTCAACCAGCAAAGACGATATCGAAGTTTCGGAGTCGAAGAAAGTACGACTCGAGGCAAACACTGCCGAGTGTCTCAAAAGACGTCTGGAGTGTCTCGAGATCGACAACAAAAGATTAGCTGCTGCTCTGCAGGCCATTCAGGAGTCGAAGGAGTTGCTGGAGGCCAAGGTAGAGGTTCTTGAGGTCGATAAGATGCGACTGGAGGTTGAACTCGTGAAGGAGAGGTCTACGAGGGACTTTGGAGGTGAAATATCTACGTCCATGGACGCACGTGACAAAGAGATGAACGCATCAGTTGCTGTTGTCTCTGAGGCTGGGAGTGGTGAGACTGGATCATCTGAAAACAAACCTGATGCTACCTTTAGATATAGAAAGAAGCTCATCAAAAGTACCACCAACCTGTTTCAACAGTCCTGCATCAGTCTCAATCGTTGCAACCCTGGGGACTCGGTTATTGTACTGTGGGACACTGCACACAGTAATTATATTATTCTGCAGGAGTCTAGAACCATGTATTTCCTCCATTCGGAGTGCATTGACACTTTGAAATTGAGAAGACAGTCTGATGGACTGCCTAAGCAGATTTATGTGCTTGGAGAGGTCATTGATAAACAGTATTGCCACGCCAAAAAGGTAATTATTTGGTATTTTGATAAAAAAAAATTAATAGACCATTTGAGAAGCTTTACAAATTGAAATGAATTTTAATTTCAGTCCGAAAATCGTTACCACGTTCCCCAAGGCACCAAATTCTACCGAGTGCGTGTGATGCCAGCCCAGAGGGAATTGGACCTGACGACCTCATCCTCAGATTAGACCCAGGAGTGAGTTAAACCATTCAAGTCAACAAAAAATCCCTACTCCATATTTGAAATCGTTCTCCAAAATCACAATAACGAGAAAAATGATAAAACGAGATAAAAACGAAAACGTTGTGATTGGGAGCTCGTGTCGTGTAGTCCTCAAAAAGTCCTCATTGTAGTTATAAAAGTCTACACGATTCATCCGTGAATGAATTCTGGAAGAATTCCAGAAAAAGTCACGAAATCCCTCGTGGAAATTATCACCTGGAGGTACGAGTCTCCGATTTCATTGAATGAGCAGAGGGATGTGGTGGTGTTTTATTGTGATATAGTTGGCGTGTTGGATAGTTAAAAACTGCATGATTAATTTTTAATTGAAAAACAAAATTGAGTACTTGAATTTTCGTTGGCAGTATGAATTTCAACACAAAAATGTGAAATTTAGCTTTAAGTTTTACAAGCAATTGATGATTAAGAATTTTGATGAGAGGAAAAAAAAACGAAGAGAAGAAAAATAATGATTTCATACGTGAGTTGAACTAGATATATTACTATGGCATACATAATACACGTATATTATCCTACGGTTGTATAATATCCAAGTATGAACACTTAGCGTAGATCTCACTGGTAAAATGGAAAAATTTTTAAAAAAAGTAATCAACACCAACGTTTTTGAGACATGGAATCATGCATCACCTCTAATAGTTGTAAAAGAATATACAGAAACAATCATATAAATCGTTCTAAGGACCATTTGAATATAGTAACACAGATAGAGTTTTTTTCGTGGAAAAACAAATCGTAATGAAATAGCTGTGATCGTTAGACCTTTAACAACCTTTTTCACCCTTCTATCGTAGTTTTTAAATTTGAAAAGTGGGGATGAGGGTGACACCCAGAAAAATTATTTACTCTATTATTTGTTCGAGTAAATCATACCTTCACAGGAAATACACGATAAAGTGATAAAATGTTAATAAATGACGAAAGATTAATAGGATAATATTCTTCACCAAGAAATCGTATTTGGGATGAAAAAAAAGGAAATCACTGGGATATCGTTTGAGAGAAATGAAAACTCTCAGCGAAATCCTCCGATTTAATGAGTAAATAATTATTCTGGGCGCACTGTGAGAGTTTTTACGTTAGAAGTACCGAATATGGGGAAGGAGATGCTTTTCAGGGGTCTCTAGCTTCTCGTAACCTCTGACAAGGACTACGAAACGTTTTAATCAGTCGAGGCGAGTGATAACTAGCACCTGGCACGTAATATCCTCTCGCACTCAGTAAAAATATCCTCATTTGTCTTGCAGCAGATTAGTCAGTTCCCATTGTCCTTGGATATTAGATTATTGTTTTTCTAGAATTAGAACGACGAGAAAAAGGGAAAAAAAGTCGAGAGAATGAGAGTCACAAATTAAAATCCTCAGTGCTTAGCAGTTTCAGTTTTCTTATTAGTTTTTTTGTTTTAATGGATCGACATGATGAGGGAATTCTTCCGCGCATAATTAATCAAAGTTTATAAATTTTTTATACAAAATCATGGGGATGAAGTTCCCGAAGTCATTCGGTGCATTAAAGGGCGCCTCTCGGGATGACCTGATGTGTGATACAGGGAATTCCTGGTGGGAGCTGTTCACTTTTGGTACCTGATGTTAATTACGTTACCCATCGAAAATTCAATGATTGGGAATTTTTCTTTCTTTTTTTTTTTGGTTCGTTCGCTATTTATTTTATTTTCTGTCCACCCAAGTGTGAGGGCTTTCGCATTCGGAATATCAAACAAAACGTGCCTCAAGAGTGTTTATTATAACCGTGATATCACAAAGTAGATGAAAATATTGAAAGTCTCGCATAGAGTTATTCCTCCGATAGATTAATTTAATACTTTCCGAATATCTCACGCTTTCAGTAGTAACACGTGGGTGACATTGCTTCATCATTATATACTTCTCATTTCTCAGCCAAAAACAAAATAATAAGAGTGTAACGAAAAAATGATCTTAAATTATAGGTAGAATTATTTTTTTTAGATTAGAGTATCGAACTTAATCGGGGCCTGCGCCCTGAAGAACGAATTATTTGAATAAAATCGATGATTTAAGTTGAAATTTTTGCAATAGCAGTGATTTTTAGTTAATGATTATTATTTTTTTCACTCGGAGAATTGAAGGAGATTTTTTAATTCGAATGATGGCTATCGCGTTTTCTTTTCATTGTTTTGGTTTAGTTGATTGATTTTTATTGAATGGAATATTTGATTCGGATGAATCATTTCTCTGGCGGTATTTGCGTTATTTTTCATCTAGAGAGTAGATTTAGTCTCATTATATTTTCCCATGCTGATAATTTTTGTATCATACGCAATTCTCATTTTCGACGTTAAGAATATGATTATTGAAGTGTATTTAATATTGAATTGAGCGATTGAATTTACGTTTAAATCGAATAATCAGCGGTGGAATAGTCCTCGCACGAGAGCTTAGTGATTTGTCATCTGGAAACATAACGAACGTAAGAGTGATTGAGAGCTGTGGTTAATTATATTAAGGAACGCTATCGAAATAAAATTTGATATTTGTATGGAAAGACGATTTGTACGTGTCGATTTAATTCTTCCAAATTTTACGAGACGATCCATCCACGATTCGTCTCGTTTCTTCAACTGGAGACTCGGAGAAAAAGCTACATTTCAGACAATTTACTTGATCAAAGAAAGAAAAGGACAATTTTCAGTGAAGAATCAATCAACAATTCATTTTTCTATCAATTCAATTATCTATTATTGTGCACAAAAAACTTTTAATGTGAGAAATCAGAGGACTTGAATAATTGGCAGAAGAATATTCGTTTGTATCAAGTGAATTTTCTCAGTAAAGAGTAATTTTTTCTCTCAGTACAGTGTGTGGATATTTCTGGGTTAAGTATCAATGGGGAAATCGTAATTTTATGTACGTACATGCAGACTCCCCAGTGCACGTTCGTACGTACTGTTGCGAGGAATTATTGTAATGGAAATGAGAAAAAGAGAACAATGTCAACGTGATAGTATCTGTTACGCAATAAACGAACGAAATAATCGTCGATATGAATAAAAGCCATTTGACTTTTTAACCGATATTTGCAGCTACGTTATTTATCTGTCCTGTCCATTGGGATTAATGGGGGGATGAATAATTGCACAGCAGGGAGCCAATTACACGGACGACGGAGGAATAATGAGGATTAATGCAGAGGTTCATTGTGGGCAAATAATATTTTCGGTTATCGAGGGATTACGGCGTCAATGAAATTAATTGAGTGGAATCGATGAATTGTTCACTTCAAAGTTGTGAAAACTGCTGAGTGTTAATTAAATACCACTGATTATCCCTTTCTTTCTTCTGAAATATTTGCAGGTCATTTTGTTAATAAATTTGATTATTAAAACCTCTCCATTCTAATCCTCATTCCACTTACAATTAATTACAATTTCAATATTTAAAAAACCAAAAGTGGAACAATAGAAACAGGTAATAAAATCAGAAAAAAGAGCTCTCAATTATTTGCAACTAATTAGTATATTTATTTTATAATACAAATACAATTCCAACTGACAAACAAATCCCAAACCCCTAATGATTTTGCACATACGCTTGCTGGGGGGACTGCTGACACCCCCCCAGGAGTCCACTGCCCCCCAAATTGTCCTCCCCAGAATTGCACAGCATCCCCACGAGAGTGTAATCGACAAACTGTGGAATTTCTATATCAGATACGTCATAGTTTCCTGAATTGGTAGGCAGTTGTATTTGGGGCATTCTGGAGTCCACGTCGCAGGTGTAATGACACCGATCATTACTGGGATAAAAATATGGTTCCGGGCTGGAATGTTGCTGGATGGTGGATTCAGCGGTCTCTGGGAAGAGCCTATCCCCGAGGGTGGGACTCTTGGTGACATTCGACTCGATGATCTGATGATAATCATCGAAATTGGTAAAAGTGGAGGTATTCTGAGTATTTGGGCTTTGACTAGGGTGCATGGCAGTCTCAACGTCCTTCTGGTATTCCAGAGAGGTTTTCATCCCACAGGGATTGAATTTATCCTCGTAATGAAAGTCCGAGCGATTGTCCAGCCAGAATGATTCGTAATGTTTTTTCGATTCATTGGTAATCTCTCTCGATTTATCGTAGCTATAGGCAAGAGGATCAGTGGAGGATGTTTTGGTGCCCTCGAAGCCCTGGAATTGCAGCCTCTCGTCGTGATTATTACCTTGGGTGAGGCTCAAGTGACTGCTGCTCGAGTCGTCACTCAGCAGCTGATGCCAATACGTCTCCTGTGGCTGTTTTGCCACTTCGTATTTTATTATTCCACTCCCCAGGTCCAGGAGCGTTGGTGGGGATCTAGCTGCCTCCTGTGAACTCTGGAAGTCGGGCCTCAGGGGCTGGTCCAGCTGGAATATCTCCTCTGGTTGGAAGAGATCACCCTGGAATACGGGGAAGTCTGGGTAGGATGGCTCCTGGGGCACTTGACTTGGCAGGCAGTAACCCAGGGTTGTTTCGTGGTGGTTCTGCTGTGGTTCCTGTAACCAGAACCCCGTCTCCGGGGGCAATGTTTGCTGGGGGTAGAAGTTTGTTTGAGGCTGCGGTGGGTTGTAGGCGTGCAGAGGACTCTGCACACCACAAACGCATTCAAACGGTGGACACGAACACGAATATCCTGGAAAAAAAATTTTTTTTTCAATTGACCGGATGTTTTTTGAAAATCAACTTCCATGAGAGAAAATTAACAGATTTCGTAACTAACTAAACAATAATCACAATAATTTAATAACTATTAAATAACTCATTAATAATTGATCATTTATTCATTTTTCATTTTTTAATTTTATTCAACTAGTTATTTTTTATTTATTTAATACTTATATTAATTGGATGGGATTATTAATCATCATTAATATTGGTGATATTCTTATCATTATTGTAATTGAAAAATTGTTAATTAATTTAATTTAATTTATGATTTAATATGGGGCGTGGGAGTGTGGGGTGGAGGCGTTGTTGGTTATTAATTATGATTTTGACTTCCTATTCACCGGTGTGAGGCGCATTTTCTTAATAGCGACTTCACGGATTTAAATAAATAAATTTGAGGAGTAAATAAATAAATATTGGTGGGTATTGAGTACAATTTTGCGTTGTGTTGGATAAATTTAGTTGCGAATTTGATTAGCAATTCACCTTTGTCTGAGATGAGAGGCGGGGGCTGCGTAGTTCTTGGCGGGATCTCGAGTGGATCAGTATTCGGTCTTTTAGTGCCGCGAAGAGACATTAACTGTAACAAAATTAGTGAATAACAATTAACAATTAGTGGCAGTGTTGTGTGTGAGTGAGTGTGTGAGACATTTGAGTGAATAGTGAGGAACATCGAGGACATCACAGGAGAAATTGTCGACAACGTTAAACGCCCGGTAAGTTCTGATACTTTGTTTACTCTCTTTGTTCCCGTGCGGTGTCCACAACAAAAACATCTCCCATTTTCCCTCACCCATATTCTTTGAAATATTATTCCTCAACACTCGAGTGAATAGTTGATACACTCTTCGTTTTAGGATTCCACAATATTTTTCTAGTGATTTTTACTATTTTTTCGTGAAGACTCTTGACTGGAATTTGTCCGCCATTTTATTGAGGTTTCGTGAGGTTTCCGTGTGAGGTATTCTGATGGCCCATAACGTAATACAAAAATCACACGGAGAAAAAAAATTTCTTTCACCAAATATATTTGTTTGGGGTAGAGAAGATTTTTTTTCTCAGTGATGTTCTCGTTTAATAAAAAAAATCGCTGGTCTGTACCTTTGAGCCAAGAGCTGCATCGCGGGCGAGGAGAGCCACAAGTCCTCTCGCTCTTCGTACAGCACCTGCACTTCTTCTTGCCTCCGATGTTGATTTGGCCTCTGGCCTTGGATGATCATGTTGTCCCTTGGCTTGAAAAAATATGGCGTGTTCGGTGTGTCGCCAAAAATGAGTGACTGGATATCCACAATGGCCCCGACAAGACAGCACCTCGAGTTTTCCAGTGCACTGTCTATTGGGACAGGGTTTTCCCTGTTGCTTCTTCCTCGCTTTATCGCAAATCGCCGGTCTCAGGTGGACTCTGCCTCCACCAGGTAAAACACAAGCCTGAGAGCACACCAGGACCCCCAGACATGATTTCTTTAAAATACTAACGTTGTGATTATTGGTATTGCGCATTGCCCATCCGGATGCATGTCTTCGCGCTTCCTCGCAGTCCGGGGCGTAAACTTTTCGCACGTGTCCGTCGGCCCATTCCGACCAGGTGTCATATTCCGCTACCTATCGAGAAAAATCATACAGTTAATTAAATTCCCTCGACATACCCCCAGAAAACGTAAATGAAATTGAAAAAATCGTACACTCAAAAAAAATCTATCCCGACATTTTTTTTCGAAGGCAATTTTTGAAAATATCTCGGAACTGAAGGAAAATGAGATAATTTTCGTAAAGATCTTTTTTTGAGATCTCGTGTTTCTCTACGATAAATGTCTGTACGAAATTTTCATTATGTGAGTTCAATCCCGAGATATCAGCTAACAACTGGTCTTGGTAAAAATCCACTTGTATTCACGGAGAGAATTTTCGGTACATGATGTTGATAATTACCCTGGGCACATTGGAATCATTGATATCCCACTCTTGATGAGGATGCTGCTGCTGTTGAGTGCCGGCAACAGTCGCTGACATTGTCGGCGATCCCACACGACTCCTGGAAAAACAAGCAAAATCTCACCACGTGTACCAATTATCCGGTTGAAGTATTCCCCCGATGAAAAATTGAACCTATTATCGAATATGCAAATGTGGGCATGCATCATCGAGCTGGAGTAATTTCGCTAGGTGCCCTGGACAACCAATGAAAAATTCCTCCTATCGTTTTTCTCGTTTCATTGGATTTTTTAAAAATCGTAATTTAGCATTGCGCAATTGCAGCCCAGCAAAGGTGACTGAACAGAGGTGGTAGGTGAGATAAAATCCCGATTTATGGTTTACGCACCGACGACACCGTACACAAGCCCATGCACATACACTATTGTATTATACTTATGGGTGTACGTGGGTGGGCTGACAAGCTTGTTCACATGCGTTTCCTTTCCGGATTTTATCCCAATTTTTCTAGGGGTGAAACCAAGTGATTTCAATCTTTCATTATTCGAAATTGTTCGAATGAAATTCAACATTTTTTTTCCTATCAAAAAATGTTCTACCTGAGTTCAGATTTCTTCAGAAGATAATTAAAATTGAGTACAGACTCATCAACTCATAAAGTACAAATGATTGATCAGTGAAAATGATCGAATTCTCTCCCCAAATAAAAAACAAGCAGTACAAATTCTCCGCTAGATTAAAATTTGCCATTATTTCTGGAAAGATCGTTCAAATGTGTAAATCACGAGTAGGTGTTCCCCATAGCCGTCTAAATTTAAGAGTCATTCAATAAAGCGGCATGAATTTTCCTCAATGGCTCGTAGATAAATCTGAAATAACGTTGACAACCCGGAAGAGGAGGCTATTGGCAAATATCAATCGATTTGTCGAACGGAAGTGAATATTCCCAGAGAGAAAAAAAAAACGAAACGCCTTCATTCATTTATCCGATTTGTTAGATTTTTTTTGTCGGCTCCTCCTCGAGGAAGAGCAATGAATTCACGGGCGTAAAGGGTTATATACATTCAGACATGTACATAGAGAGTGAATGATTGCCCGGATCGGTGATAAAGTCATCGCCTTTAGCACCGGCGTAAGATGATACATCGGTCAGTGATCACGAAGCCAAGATTATGTTTGCAGTGTGTGGTAAAAGACATATGTGGTACACACTTGGCACGCACCGTACACATATCCCCCTCTTCCACCTCCTTGATCAACCGTACATACTTATTTACTTCTTCGCTGGATTATTTTCTATGTCAACAACGTACATAAAATTGCTCCGGCGGTGGATATATTCGAGGGGAACTTTTGTACAGATATTAAACGCGATATCAAGCCTCACTAAATATCTTCAGTAAGGAAACACCTAAAATTTCAGATTTTTCGTCGTTTCACGGGTTTTAAGAATGCACCCAAAATCCCCGAGGATTTAAATTAATTCTTTTTTAACTGCCCGGGGGAAAGAAATTTATCACGTTGTGGTACAGTCACACGGGTTTAGTAAAATATTACAATTTTTGGGGGGAATTTTTAATCAAAGATTACATGTTTTTTTAGCTAGATGGAGGTTGAGATATTTCAAGGGAATTGTTGCACTCATTTTGAAGTTAAGGTCAAGAATTTTTTAATATATTTAGGCGATTTTTTGAGCAGGTAAATAGAGTGAAATAATTCTATTCATTTTGTCGCGGATGTATTTCACCGTTCAGATGATTATAAGTAGATGAATTTTTTCGTTGAGACACGCGAATAACAAATTATAAAAACAGAAATCTGGGCATTGATAATTTCTCCATTGATTTCATATTCAGTGGTAAAAGTTTCAGGAGAAATCAGGAGAATTTTTTCTACAGAATTCCATCCTTTCTAAATTTCCGAAAAATTAAATTCAATACTTTCCGTCAAATGACAAAATGTTGTCAAAAATTATTATGTCGAAATTAATAATTCACTACTCATGAAACTACATTTTGTCGGTAAATCCCCATCCCCAGGCAATTTCTGCACTGAGAACCGGAGGGAATCCTAGGCTAACCTAGCAACCAATAAGAAACCCCGTGATAACGCCCACACACCAATCAGTGAACGAGTAGAACGCCCACTGATTAGAAATCTAGCCAAGTAATTTTCACGATGGGCTATCCAAATTTTACCTCCATGAATGGAATTTCTGATATACGACGGCTTCATGAAATCGACTCCATTCCTGTGTCACTTCCCTTGAAATATCTCGAGATATCTCGAAAGCTGCAGGATTTAAGGAGAAAGCCCTTAGAACCTTTTTTAAAGCTTTCCCTTTTTTTCACAGAAAAGTCTAATAAAAAATTTTGCTAGGTCCCACAAGTTTCGAGATATACTGTGAGATGGAACTAGTTGTATCGAGGGAGATTTGTTTAATGCAAGACAATATCTCTTGTTAATTTCTAGAATAGTGAAATGTAGTAATGAAAGTGAATTTTTCATTGCCGATTTTCTAGTCCTTGAAATTTCCTTGAATAACATAAAATAATTCCTAATTCTCCACGCAATATTTTCAAAAACCTTCAGACCAGGTCATTCTGACATTTTTATTACTAATTCCTAAATAATTCCTTCCATTTTGTTTTCATCGATACCTATAAAATTTAAAAGTACTTACAGTACAACCATCGTTGCTTTCCGTCGATAATTTTCCAATTTCACAAAAAAATCGATCACTTATCACCACCTCTCGATCGGTGTCAATATTTCACTTGATTATCAGGAAAAAACAAAGTCCTCAATTGATTTCACTGAGTCAATTTTATCAAAGCACTTAAACGAGATTCATCTCATTCTACAATTGTTTGCGGATTGAGTTGGATATGATTATTAAAAATCCAGGGAATTATTAATCCGAGACATGAGAGATCGCGCGTGCGTGCGTTCTCGTGTCTCGATGAGAACTGAAATGACGTGTGACTGGAACTGTTGCCTTGTACCCAAGTCCGGGACTTCCCTAGTCCATTCTCAGGTACCGCCTCCTGGTGTGGCCTACCACCAGCCAATCCTATGGCAGCAGCTCCACCCTTTTTCGTTATTCATCCCCCGATCAACCCCCGCTACCCAGGCACCCCCGCAGATCAATCCGGTTGGGGAAGGGCTGAGGTCAACTCATCGGTCAATTGTTGGATTAAAAATTTTACACTGGAATTTTATTGTCATTTTATTCAGGGGTTGCTTGGGGGAAAGGGAATTTGTGGTAGCCGTTTTCGGGGTGGGAGTGGATCTGGGGGGAAATACATTCCCCTTCCCATTTCTTCATCCCCCTTCCCATGTCTTCGTCCCCCTTCCCATGTCTTCATCCCCCTTCCCATGTCTTCACCCCCCTCGACAGGTACCCGCATCCGAAGACAAAACGCCTCAATCGAGTGTGGAACCCACGACGCAAACACATTCAACATTGTGCACGCCACCAAACTTTTCCCTCGTTTATATCGGGTTCACGGGGATTTCGGGTCGTCCAGGAGTCGGGGTATTTATCAAGACACTCGCACCAGGAATCAATGGGAGAATCTCCGGGAATTTGATTTTTATTCGGGGAATTGTGGAAAAAATATGGGGTGATTATCGGATTTTCGCCATTTTCAGACTTGGATCAATCGAGATGCAATAAATAAAATTGAATCAAGTCAAGTCCGAGTCAAACTCAATTCAGACAACTTTTTTCCTTGATTGAGCCCTATCTTTTGTCGAGTCATCAATTCAGCTGAATTATAATAAATGAATTTCCCTCCTGTGAAGTAAAAAATATTTGATTCAATCGAGACTTTATGACAACCTAAAATTATTTTTTAATTGTGATGAATGATGCTCCTCCTATCGTCTCGAAATAAATTACTCTAATGAATCAATAACTAAATAATTCCAAACAACTGAAACAATTGGAATTAATCGAATCACTTATTTATTTTAATCCAATTATTCACATCAATACCTTCTTTTCTCTCGTTGCAACTCCTTCGATCTCCATTCGACCAATGCAATTATCTCCATAATTGTTTGGTAGCGAGTGCCTAGAACAAAAACTAGTGTTCGCCTTCATGCATGTGCGATTTGACACCGGCATACTACGCATTATGTCGTTTCACTTGATAATACCATCGTCACTTCCTACCACGTGGTGCAGGTGTCCTCATCGGCATAAAATTATCCATCAAAAACGGTTGATTCCAATAAAAAAAAACTGTAAGAAAAGAATAGAAAAATAAAAAGCGAAATGCAAGCGATTGAATTTGCCAAAACATATTCCTTTTATCTAAAATTACCGGTTTTTTCATTTCGACAAATTGTCGATCGTATTTAATATTTAAAAAAATATTTCTCATGGTGATTATTATCAAGGAAATAATAAATTACGGTCTGAGATTGTTAACGGCGCCGTCAAATAATTGTCCAACAAATGCCAAAAGTGGTTTGAGGCACTGAAATAAAACGAAAAAATTAATTAAACTCGTGGAGAGGAGAAAAGGAAAAAGGGAAAAGGGTAAAAAAAAGTGGAGCTAGAGTTTTTTCGCGTTACCATATTCACCCGAAAAAGTACTCCGGGTATGTGTAGACAGGGTCTATGTACGCTAGATAGAACCGGTAGAAATGAGAGAGGACTCTGGTACATGACAATGGGGACAGTTCCGGACAATAGCTGCGGCAACAATCAAATCAGTACTATCAGGCCCCATCCCATTATCCTTTGATCCGCGACGCGCCTCGCTTGTGGGGCGGCAAACACTCGCTGATTGCCCCCCTAACCCCCCCTCGAACCATCCCCTTACCACCCTCCGCCACCTCATCACCCCCCCGGAACCCACACCCTCGTCTTCCTATACCTCGTCTTCCATTTCTCGGTGTTTGAACAGTTGAGAATTGTCCTCTTGTGAAATACCGCGCGTCAAAATGAGCAAAAAACACATTAGAGACAAATATTTCATTGGAATTACCGATTTTTTTGGAATTGTCACATTAATATTATTCAATTCATATTTAACATGAAATTAAAACTAACATTGGAAATTAATTGGGAGGGATGAATTCTAATTTTAATAATAACTTGAAGATATTAATTATTCAGTATTGAATATTAATATTAATTTGAAATATTGCTATGAGGTATACCCCGAGAGGGCATGCATGCTGGATGAATTATTATTAATGAAATTAAATTAAGAGGTACATAAATTTTGTCTTTTTTTTGTGAGGGCATTGATGATGATGGATCATTGACTTCAGCATGTTCACTCATCTTTTTGATTTTGTTCTAGGTTTCACGGAGAGCTTTCGTCAAGAAGGGCGTTTGGTGAGTCTCACACATGCATAATAATATCTCGTGAAATCCGTCGACATTAATCACCGCGAATGTCAAAAGACACTGCGACCGTTTACATTTTCACATAGATCTGCGCATAATTAAATTGATAACGAAAGCATTCGTTATGAAAGCAACACCGAAACTTCGTTCAACTATTCAGAATTGAAATAAATTCAATTAAAATTTATTATAAAAATTCCGGTTGTAATAGAAAATTCTTTTGAAACAGGAAAATGTTTTCCCATTAAAAAGACTTTTCCTTTGAGTCTCAGGCTAAATTATTATCAGGATTTTTAGCCATTTTCTTTGTGAAATGCTGTCGATATTTTATCGTCCTCCCTTCCGGATAAATTTTGAATCCCGTGTGGGGATACACTTCCATCAAAATTGTCATTTGAAATTGTTATCAGTCCCGTCAAGAGTTGAAAACAACAGAGCGCATCAAAGAGGTTGGATGTGAATTGAAATCAATTTTATTGAAAATTTCTCGGTACGAATGATTGGGTACAGTAAGGGAGATACTGTCACAGACAGAAACCAACGTAAAGCCGAATTATCAAGCACTCGTCACCGGAATTAATTCCCGTACAGAGAAATTCTGTTGAAAATGTTGAAAAAACCGGTGCGTTCGGTCCATTCCACGGAAGTTTCACCCTCGATCATTATCTTTACAAATGAACATAAATATTCCGTTCAGGTTTATTCTAACTATCACTTTTCCTAAACTACATCTGCTACATTCGAATTTGTAAACATAACCAGTCGCGTGCCGTTTCGAGACAATTCTAGTACTTTTAAAAATTGTAGAAGCTCTATAGGTACTGGATATTGTCACCTGTCACTGCACGCACGTGTACCCAGTGACAACAATTATTATTTTTCTCAAGGAAAATTACTAACTGCAAGAAAATCCACATATTTTAATGGAATTCTTCCTACATATCTGCTTGTGCCGATTTATTTGACGGAAGTTAATGAATTAATTCAATTTATCAGAAGATTTTTTTCTATGTACACAACTTCAATTGAAAGTTAATGTGATTGATAGTAATCGTGTGGTAAACTGATAGTTCAGGAATTTTTATACTAGTGCTTCTTTATTTTTCTTGACGTGTGGGTGAAAAGGGGATTTTTGGGGGTTTGCATATGCTGAATATGTTTAGGAGATTTTTTAGCTAGTGAAAGTATCTAGGTATATATGTATATAGGAAGGGGGACAGATGACATAAAAGGGGTAGGGGGGCTCGTGCCGGCTGTTTCCGGTTCATCCCGATGCCTGACCCTTTACACTCATGGCAAGAAATAGTCAGTAAAAATTACGGAATGCGGAGAGAATTATTGCGTGAAAGTCGAGCTGATAATTTGCTCACCGATCTATTCACGAACATTCTAATTGCGATATAATTTTTCCGAGGAAATTCAGATAATCATTGTCGGGCGTTCTGTAAAATTTCCTTCATGTTATTTCTTATAATTGTTCGATCCGTTGGCCAACAATTGCAATAATTATTTTTCGTCATGACGCACATCGGTTTATCTTAATTACCGACAGAATTTCTTGCCGGTGTCGCGTGGAAACGTGCGACTGGTAGGGTGATTTTTACGGCTGGGAAAAATAGGTGCGGTTTGATTACGATCAGAATTATCGATTATCCATTGTTCCAATGTCTCTGTTATCAATCGATTGTCTCCCCATCCTTGGGAAATCATCGTTTTCCGTGGGAAATCATCATTCAACATTAATTCCAAGAAGTGATTCCAAAAATATTTCCAAAATTATGTCCAATGAAGCATTTCCTGGGATTTTCAGTGGCCAGAATTTTGATTGATCAAATGAAATTTAAACCATGACCTGCTCGTAAAATATCTCGAGATAGTCCTCGGTGTTTCTTTTAATTCATTTAGGGCCTGTGAATTTTCTTGTACACCCTCTGGAACTCTTCTCCATTGTGCACCAATTGAGGCTCGTTTAGCCCTGGGGGTTGCCGACCAAATTGATTTCAATTGGTCCCGGGGGCGATTCTTCCCATAATCGTTTACATTCTCAAACTCACGAAGAAATATTTCGGCATTCAATGTTTCAAAGTCCCACGGAATCATACGGGATCATTTTAGTTTTTTACCTGACGCCTTTTTCCAGTTGTCCCGGACTTTTTTTTTCATCAATAGGAACATTTTTATTTGAATTACAATTTTTCTTCGTTTCGGGAGTGATGCATTGGGGCACCCGTATTTCGATCGGGATTTATCTCCCCTTGAATCGATTTTTAATGATCATGAAATCTTGAGTTCGTTGTAAATAAATTCCTGAGAAATTACTCATACG